AAAAACGAACCACTATCAGCGGCTTCAATCTAGCTCTCACTGGCAAATTTCTTGTGAACGGCGTCGCTGCTGTTGTTTTGTATGTACATTCGTGTTTACGAACTCTTAAAGAGGATCTTCCCAACTATTTTTTTTCACAAAGCAGTAACTCTCATGACTGTAAAGCTTATTGCTGCTGACGCGCCGTTCAAGTTGCCGCAATTACTTGTTGCGCGTCTGACGCGAGGGTGGTTTATGTAACAGAAGCCAGTGACAGTAGAAAATGGCGGACTCTGGTGCTTGTTCTAGACTGCGATGAAAAGGGAGCGAAGGAGAGAAACATCTTATCACAGCTTTAGAAACATCTTTTTCAACTAATTTCTTCAAAGAAGTCTACTTTTATTGTCTACTTGTAAGTCTACGTGTAAAAACGCCGTCCTAATTTTATTTTCTTCTACTAGCACCACTTAATAGAAAGGCAAAGAATACAATATCAGCATAGAATGACGTGTTTCAAATCTCAATGTTGAAAATATTTGAGACGGCTGTTGCAACTCCCCTTTCTTTATAACCTCACCGTTCCTACAGCTGGGTCATACGCAAACATATGTTACGTCATATTTCCATTCAGTTTTCTTGAATTCTTATGGTAAACGCTGATCTGTTATTTGTCTTTCTCCCGGGCTATTTTGCTTACATCTTCCCTAGTCGTGACAGATCCTTCACTCTTTTAACAAATAAACATACAAATTTAAATCAGTTAAATGTTTCCTAAATTAATTAATTTATTTTAAATTAGTCTTACCTGTATACATCTGTATATCGAAGAGAGTTTCTTACTCTTAGTACTAGCGGGCTTCAGCTGTGCCACAAGATTAGAAGAGAGAAGTAATGGGTGAAACGACCCGGCATTGCCGAGATTTTTGTTTATCCCAATCACCTATTAGCAGGAAAAGAAATGGGTTCTATCTATAGAGTAACATAGAAGTAATTTTATTAGCATCGGCGCCACCCCCTGCTCATCCCTGCAACCCCTCCGCCCGCCGCCATACAGCCTTTAGTCTACACCTCGTCAATACCTCACCGTTGTCCAGCAACCGCACTTCTTAGATGCATTGCTAATAACATAAAAAAGCCAACAACATTTTTTCTCTGTTTGGGGAAAACCTTTCTTAGGGATTATATACATCATAATATGAACATATATTCGAAATTTCACTACTTTTGGGCTTACGTTGAAATAATTAACATCCAGTACAAGTCATCCTATATCGTAGATTGTTCATGTACATTAAAAAAAAAAAACTTGCTACAAAGATTCGTGAATTTCATCTCTAAACAAAACATTCATAAGCGTCTATAAATTAATGAAAAATATGAACGGATGTTAAATTTATAATGAGATCAAATATTTGTTTGCATATCACACACAACAACAATATAAAGCTGGAAATCTCTAAATAACACGGTAAGCGTGTTGTATCAAAGAATATACTCTTTCCACAGTGTACATGCAATACGAAGCCCAATGATATACTTAAATAAACCTGAATGATCAATTGGCCAAATCCCATTTTGAATAACAAAATAAGTCAGGCTTGGATATAAAGAAGGGTCCAAAGACCCAGAGCAGCAACTATTGGGATAATGGACAACACAGAAATGATGTGGACCAGCAAACATTCAACCTTTCGTAGCATGCTTGCTGTATTTCACAATGGGGATAATGGGCAACATAGAAATGATGTTGACCAGCAAGCATTCAACCTTTCGTAGCATGCTTGCTGTATTTCACTGAAAAGGCCAACATTCGCCAAGACTCTCCGCCAAAGTCTTCTTCGAGAACAGCGCTGTGGAGTGTCGAAACGTCTAAGCAGCTGTTTTTGTTTTGACGTCGTCGACAGGGCGCGTTGGGGGTTTGAACATTATGTTCAACAACTGACGACAAGTGACATGCTTACCCCGTCCAAGGCCACTCGTTGGCAAATTCAAGAAGGGAGAGAAAGATTTCTATTTTCTATGGCAGAACGAAAACACAACACTTTCATCCTGAGGCATGGCCTGGAATAAGCACACCTCAAACAATGCCTTTACGGCCCATCCTTGTGAATCCTGTTTTCATTCACGATCCACTCTGATTCATTTGAATCCTGCTGATTAATTATTATTTAATCTGAATATTTTCAGCGTATTCACCGACGTACCTAAAGAATAATACATTTTTAGTCAAACCTTTTCTGCAGTTGTAGTTTAATACTGATTAATTAATTCAAATAATAATAATAATAATAAACAAAAACAACTATTTTACACTTAGAATATTTAAGAAAACCTAAATCAGTACGGATTTCCAAGAACTGGTAAGTCCTTGCCAGAGATCAAAAACACAAAATAAATCTGTGTACACAACACCGAAGTCACAATGAACCGGTGTGGTAAGATATGGTATGTGTGGGGGTGGAATATTTTCCTACTTCCATCCTTTATGGCTGTTGGTGTTTCGGGGACGGCCCCCTCCCGCTCAGTAATTTCCAAGCGCAGCCCCTGGGTAACATTAGCCAGACACCCTGAACGTTGCGCCGATGCGGCTCATAAGTCCGAGTCCAACACACTACCTACTTATTTCCCAAGCAGTGCAGCTCGTGAGTCCATCGGCGATTACACTGGGTTAGAGGCAAGGTGTCCAGGTAGCTACGTCGCGTTTGCAGCAGTGACCAGGAAGCTGGAGTTGTGCATACAAGATTTACTGAACATGCACACTAATTACCGGGGTGGGGAAAGGAGTTAGGAGTAGGAATCGGATTCAGGGGTGAAGTGGGTATTGGGATTGGGGTTGTGTTCGGTTTATTGGGAAACACAACAGAAAACATTCACACTGATTCGAAGCTAATCTTAGTGTAGCGCGTAGTTGGGCGCAGAGTCACAAATCCATGCCCCCGCCTGGCCGCCTCTAATTAGCTGTATTTCACCGCACTCGAACATGGGGATATGCAGTATCTGTGCATTAAATTATTTCTCCCGTATTCCGTATTTAGCGATTCAAACACCGAAACAAGATGGAGTTCTATTCCATTCGGCTTCACATGGAACAGGACAGAAGGAGATGCTCATTTGTTTTAATTTCATCATTATTCCTTCAATGTGTGGTAATTATTTCATTTATAGCTTTAATTACACCATTCGTACATAATGTAGTAAATTTGTTGTCCCCGCAGGGTTCGGGTGATTTTACACACTTCAGAGGGAGGAGGGTCCCAGTTCATACCAAACAGAAAGGGATCAGTAGGCTCCAGTGCGATTACATTACTTTCTGTAAGTCATCCTCATCTAACAATAAGAAGTGACGGTTCGATGTGTGGTGGTACGGAAAACCAACAGGTGATCCTAGGATCAACAGGTGTCAGACGGTCCTCGCCAGCGACCGTTTTTTTCAAATTTTCTAAAACACTTTGGTATAGCTTAAGACGGCGAGTTGCATTCTTCCGCGTGGCAGATGATGCGTGGATGCTGCGCCAGCTCATAATGCTCTGCAGTGCAGATTGAAGTGTGGAGAGCTAGTTTTCTTGTTGTTTTTTGTTACAAAGGCGTCTTTAAAATCAGTATTGTACGAATGTATACAAGTCCTGTAGAAGAACGTGAAGCTATTGCAATGAACTCTACGACAAAGAAATGAAAAGCGAAGCTATGCACTTCGAACGAAGGTTATCACTAAATACCAAAGCGCCCACGTAACTTACTTTCAACACGCATTTAATTAAAATTTCAATCAAAAAATAGTCCACGTAAATAATATTTTTGTAACTAGAAGTTTCGAAGTGCATATTACTTGAATTCAAACAATATTAATATATTGCAATCATGCTACCTTCCTTTAAATGACGAAATGTCGAAACAATGGGGAGTACCACAGCATTCACCACAAGTTTGTCAAAGTTCGTGAAGTGAAAACGTTACGCACCAAATAAATTCGGCATGCCCGACTATGAAACTTAATCTATTTCTTCAGAAACCAGGCGAAGGCAAGTGAGCCAATTTCGGTACACGCGAAAAACAAAATCTGTCTAGGATCAGAGTAAATTTTTTGGTATTTTTTGAAAAATGTTTTGCTGAAAGTAATATTCAAAATGTTCCAGAATAAATATTACAAACGTTGAGATCAGGTAGAGGAGTCGAAATGGTCATTTTTTTGTCAGTGAAAGTATAGTGGAAAAATTACAAATAATGGCGTAGTGCACATTTATAAATAGGAGCGTAGATCACAAGGGATGTAAGTGCCCTTTCGAGTTCTAAGTTAAGAGATTATAGAAAACGTTATGGAAGGCATTTTCTTTTCATCGCCAAAATGCGGTAACAGTTTGAGATATTAGAATATCATTTGTTCACGATACCAAATGGAGTATTGCCTTTACAGTCATACTTGAAACTAAAAGGCTAATTAGGCACAAATGCACTCATATACCCTGTGCTCTGAGACCCTCAAATGCTATATTTGCCCCTGATTAAAGCAACCCCATAAGCATGGATGTTCGGCTGGAAAATGAATGCGACCTGCCGTACATTTGTGCATAAGGAGTTGCCTAAAAATCAGGGGCAAATGTCGCATCTAAAGATGCATTATGTGCAATTTTTCCACTACATGTCCATTGACATAAAGTTACCATTTTCGACCCGGCTACATGTCCTAAACGTGTGTAACATTTATTCTGAGGCACCGAGTACAATGCCTTGATTTTTATGGAAGAAAACGTTTCACGAACACTCTTTTTCGAAATATTCCATCATTAATTTTTGGAGTATGGCCAATTTCGGAAAATCAAAAAGAAAATGCCTACAATACGACATTTGGGAGTAGAGGTTTTAATTTTTTGCTGAAGGTACTATCAGTATTTTTTTTATAGACGAAAACATTTTATGTATTCTGTTTGTAGAAAATCATTCTAGCATTAACAATTTTCTGACGTTTGTCTTGTTTCTGAAATAAGCGCTTCAACTGTGGCCCCGACTGGATCGAGTGTACTCACCGACGAGCATCTGCGACATCATGGCGGCCATGCCGCGGGTGAGGTCGTACACGTAAAGCTCGACGGCGACGCCCACGTCACCATCCATGTCGGCGTCGTCCGCGGCGGCGGCGGCGGCGGCTGATCGCCCCGCCGGCGACCCCTGCAACCAACACACACACCTCGCTTCAGACCACAAATCTATTACTCCATCACAAGGCTGGCCAGCGCCAGCCAGTGTCGGGTGCTGGGGATCGTCTCTCTACAGCTTCACGGGCCCTGACAGTGGCGGATCATGTTGGGGGGTCAAGGACCCCCGTCACGGGAGTTGTATCCCCAAAGCCAACTTTATTTAGACATTTTGCTCAATGTATTCAAAATAATTATCAGATCTCAATGCATCCAGAGCAGTACGTAGCCCTATTCCCATTATGAATACAAGTATAGACTCGTACCTGTACGAGTATATACTCGTGAATTTTTTATTACATACTAACTACAGTAAAATCTGTCAAAACCGAGATCAATCGGGACAACAAATTATTCCAATTTAAGGAGGTTTCCGTTTTATGCATAGCTGTTCATTTTATGACAATTGTTATATTGATATTTCCGTCCTGAAAGTAGTAAATTATAAGACTTTATTATAATTATAAAAATGTATTAACATGTAACATGTTTATCGAATAAATAAGCAAGAAGTGAATATTAAACATATTTCTAACAATTCAAAAGAAAAACTTCACAACTTAGCACGAAAATAATATTTTTTCCAACGTTTATTTACAATTTTTGTATTTTGTATTTTCCACTTACTATCACCTTTTCCAGTATGTTTTTTGAACTTAAAAATGTTAATATTTCGGGTTTATGTTTTCTTCCATTGTTAAACTGGTTGTGAAACTCATAAGACTACACCATCGTACTGCCTTGCGGCTGCACCCGAAGTGCTCGCTGACTCTTTCAACGCACAATTCGCCACAACCCTGTGTCTTCCACCTGTGTCGCCAACCCACAACTACTGTCTTTCTGATATCCTCGCCTAGCCTTGACCAATGCGGCTCTCGCCGAAGCGTGACGATTGTCAACGCGAAGCCGGTAGATGCGTGAATACAAGCCGTGCCCGTGTACAATCCCACGCAGAGAGCTGGGGGGGGGAGCAATTCCCCTTCCGCCTACGCATTGAGATACAAGCGACCCTCAGGTCGAATTCTACGCTGACAATTGATGCTTCTCGCCTTTGCTGTGCAGCTTCCACGACTGGCACTCGTCACAAAGCCAGAGAAATTAAAATAGACTTGCAGATGCATTCAATCCATGAAGAGTACCCCGCGTCTCTCTGTCAATTGCATTAAATTCGCAGAAATTCCGTTTTATGAAGGTTTTTCTTCCCTCGCAGGACATGAAAAACTGTTCGTTCGACAGATTCCATTTTATGCTGTGTATAATGCCATTTAACTTTACGGGCCGAGGAAATCTCGCGGTTAAGGCAGATTTCCGGATTGTAAAGATTCCAGTTTAGACAGATTTTTCTGTATTAAAAAAGTACTATTTCAAAATATTTATGAGGATCTGAACTGAAATCCAGCCCTCCTCCTATGGAATGTTCTTTTCAAGAAAACTGGATTCTTAGATGTGGAAATGTTACAAATTGGATGAGGGGGAAGGATAAATGAAATGAGATGACGCACACTATATTAGCAAACAGTTGGGTCACAAGGGTTATCCTACTGGGTTATCCACACACAGAGGCACTGCCTGAATAACAAAAGGACCAGGAGTCGTTCCCGGTGGGATCAAATATTGGACTTCATGACATACCATTTTAGATAAGGGAATATTTACCGACTGAACCTCCTGAGAAAGTAACAGAGTCCACGCATTAGAACACTCATGGACCACATGGATGCGTATTACTCATCACATCCACTGTTTGTAAAAAATTGAAAAATCACATTTCAAGATGTGCATTTTTTATTTCCATGATTACCATACTTCCTACAGAAAGTTGTTTTGACAGAAAACGGCGTTTTGACAAACAACTCTTTCCTTAAGTAGCGTATTACTTTTTCGTATAGTTGATTAAGTCAAAATTCACGAGCTTTGGGAGCCCCTGATAGCGAAAAAGTGTTAAGTCAGAAAATTTTCCGTTCGTTTGAGAACAACACCTAAACCGTACCTAGGATTTCCAACAAAATGGATATTCCCAGATTAATCCGACTGATGTTGCGGACCCTTGAAATTGAACCCAATAATTTAATTTTGGGGGTACTTTATTGTATCATTACGTTTTCAAGTTCCTCAAATAAAGGTTACGAATGTGTGTGTGTGTGATTTTTTTTTAACATTTCGTTGATCGAATAATGCAAAGTATGCTTTTAAAAATTACGCAGGACAGAAATTGTGGAAACAAACCCTTCAAACGATTTCTTATTACGTTTCCCGAAATCTAAAAAAATATTTCCTTTAATTCTTGTTCTCATAATAAGCAGGTTGTTTTCTTGTTCTGATAGGGAAGGACGTTCACGGAAGAGGCGTGAGTTAAGAGTGGTTTGAATCCCTGTATAGGAAGAATATTCTTTTAATTTTGAACAAGAATAGGGAGAAGTGTGGCTACAACTATGATATAAGTCGAATTTTCTTTAAAATATCTAAAGCTTCAAAAACTGCAAAACTTTGAAAATTGCTCACTAGAATCTCCCGCGTTTTTTTTTCATGTGATAGCTGAAGAATTAGTACGATGAAAGCAGGAATATTGTAATATTATGTAAGTTTATATTACAATATACATTTAACACAAACGTATTCAGGGAAATAATAGCTAGACTATTCATATTGATTTTGAAGGATGCATTCGCGATTGGTAGTCACAAGATGAAATCAACATTTATAATAATGTAAAATTAAAATTGATGTTTTTTTTTCAGTTTATTGTTTTCGTTACTTAGCGTTTCAAAGCTGCAATATATTATTCAAGGGCTAAAAGCTTTTGGTCCTTTTTTTATAGAGTTCAATTCTCGAAATCATTTACAAGCGTTATGCTAGTCACTATGGAATCGCCATGTTACAATAAAACATGAAGAATAATTTTAAGGGATTGGAGCAGTAACAAGATACTTTGCCAGTCATTGCAAGTCGTCCGCTATACAAAAATGTTAATATTTCGATTTTGGTGTGGTGTGGCTGGTCTCTCATTCATAGTTATGAAGGTCTTCACAGGTCAGTGACAAGCCACAGTTTTACCAAAATTGAGATATTAACATTTACGAACATTGCGAGACTTGTGAATTACGTGGCTTAACTTGTTACTGTCTCAAGCGCTTAACTTTCATTACTACAAAAACGCAGTAAAAATTCAGCTAGAAAAAAATAAGTCATTTGAGAAAATCCTTAAAGATGTAGGCCTTAAAAGAACTTTGCGAGTACATACATACAATATGTATGTACGTGGATGTGAGGTTTTCTGTTTACCGAGTTACTATTCAACGCGAAACTAGATATTCTTAAACCGAGAGTATAAAACCCAAGTTCCAATATGAACCAAATACTTCGATTCTGCTTCTATTTTCATTGACAAAAAATGTTTGTATTATTCTGAGTATTAAAAGCAAAAATAAACATTTATTTTATCAAGAATAAATTGGTCCATTAGTAAATTTTCAATGTCTATAACAAACTAGTTCAGCTCAGTTTATATTATTATTATTATTATTATTATTATTATTATTATTATTATTATTAGTTCTGATTACAATTTAACATTCCAATTTTTTGCATCGTATGAAACTTGGAAATATAGGCACAATATCAGAAACTCGCTCAGTAGGAATCTCTCATCTTTAATACTACGTTCACACAGAATTTGTACTCAGGAACGATGCGTCAAAGGGATATACACTATGTGATCAAAAGTATCCGGACATGTGGCTGAAAATGGTTTACCCGTTCGTGGGTCCCTCCATCGGAAATGCTGGAATTCAATGGGGTGTTGGCCCACCCTTAGCTTTGCTTCCACTCTCGCAGACATACTTTCAATCAAGTGCTGGAAGGTTTCTTGGGGAACGGCAACCCATTCTTCACGGAGTGCTGCACTGAGTAGAGGTATCGATGTAGGTCGGCGAGGCCTGGCACGAAGTCGGCGATCCACAACATCCCAAAGGTATTCGATAGAATTCACGTCAGGACTCTGCGCAGGCCAGTCCATTACAGGGATGTTATTGCCGTGTAACCACTCCGCCACAGGCCATGCATTATTAACAGGTGCCCGATCGTGTTGAAAGATGCAATCGCCATTCCCGAATTGCTCTTCAACAGTGGGAAGCAAAAAGGTGCTTAAAATATCAACGTATGCCTGTGCTGTGATAGTGCTACACAACACAACACAAGGGGTGCAAGCCCCCTCCATGAAAAACACGACCACACTATAACACCATTTTGGACGTGTCCGGATACTTTTGATCACACAGTGTATGTTAGAACAGCGTAACGATTAGTCATTTAAAGTGAAAAAAGAACATTTTAGGGTCGATTATTTCTAATAAGCAATTAACTGTCCATTCTTGAACCAAATTTCTATTAGTCATTTATGTTGTGTCAGAAATGTGGTACTAGAAATTATATAATCATATTACATCTAAAGAATATATGAAATTGTAAACCAGCTTTTAAATTATTGTAATAATAACTAAGATTACGATGATTACTCATTGATCAACATAGATTATGTGGAGCTTCCCACTAACAATTCGAGAACATTCAATTATAAAAAAAGTATGTTGTAATTTTGTTGTTTTCCCCATATTTTTTAGTAGAATGGAATAATTGTTATCAAAACGATTTTGATGCAATGAATGATTAAATAAATGATCGCAATACGCTGCAGAGGAAACTTGAATATCTTGTCAATGAGCCAACTCATCGAGCCAAGGAGATCATCATATTGATAGTTTAATTATTACACAACGTCAAAATCAACAGTGATTATAATTTTTTATGAGCCAAAGAACTCAATGTCAGCTCGCGGTACTCAATGTTATGAAAGTTTGTGTCAGTTGTTAGAATGCAGAAAGTTAAAAGTTATATGGTGAAGTTTCATTCACAAATGTATTTGAAAAAGGAAGTCACAATATTAGACAATATTCATCTGAATAGAATACTGCAATA